GTGTGTGTGTGTGTGTGTGTGTGTGTGTGTGTGTGTGTGTGTGTGTGTGTGTGTGTGTGTGTGTGTGTGTGTGTGTTAAACTTCTTCAGCGGAGGTGCTGAAGTAGCTCCTCCGGACTGAAGTGACTCACCGGCTCGGAGCTGGCTCTTCATTAGCTGGGTCTGGGTTCCCTCTCCGCAGTCAAACAGCCAGCACTCCCCGTCCGTCCGCAGAACCAGAGCCGAGGCACCGCGGTGAGGAGACGGGTAGGCCGAACCGGTTCCGAGGAACGTCATGTCCATAGACATCCTCACAGGTTTACAGAAAAGTGTCTCGGAAAAAAAAAAAAATTCACTGCTTTCTAAACACGCCAGCGTCCCATCTTGATGACGTCGCATAAGCGACGGATCACAAAGCGCATGTCTYTTGGTGTTCAATCAGCTGAGCATTTTCTTCACAAATAAAAAAAGGTATACATTAAAAAATTAACTAGTTACAGTAAATCCGTGAGAATGAAAATAAAAAGCAGACAAGTCAGTGTCCAATAGATTTTATTCTGCGGTTTGAATACATTAACTATGTAAAAGCAGCACAAATATATTATCTGCCCTGAAATGTGTATCAAAAATAAAAGCGTTACACAGACGCCAACTTCAATGAGACACATTTTACTAATGAACCACAATATAATAGTTACAGTCAACATAACGATGGTAAATGTGTTTTTAACAACAGATAGCATTTCTGGAGTCACCTTTAAACATGTCCAACAAAAACACCAAAAAGAAAACTGAACATGTCACAACCTGAAGCTGCACAGAGAAAAAGCTGCATACTAAATACTGCAGTCACTTAATGTTAAACAAAATAAGCGTTCTTTATGTTCATACAGCTGGCAAGTAATTTCTCAGGTGTCTGCAGCGTGTTGGGAACATGGAGAAAAGCAACCATGTTCAGTAACTTCAAGGAGGGGTGATTACAGGGTTCTTCTTATACAACACTCTGAGGTTTATGTTTACACTGTGTAGAGTACATTACACATATGCAGTTAGAGAAAGGAGTATAGAGTCAACACTATTGTGTGTTTCATTGTTCATTGAGTGTATAAAAAATAAAAGTCTAACTGTAGATTTTAGCCATTCAAGAATGTGTGCTTGTGTAATTATTAAATAAAGACAGTACTTCAACTCTTGTATTTTAACAATAAATGCAACATGTTTAACTTYAGCAAGCAAGAACTTTCAATCTCCAAAAATAAGAGGTGAGCATTTAGCTAAAAGTCAAAAGTATTATTTCTTAGCAGGGATATAATTATACAGTATAAGGGAGGTGCTGCCAGTGGCGGAGCTAGACATTTTTCTCAGGGGTGGCCAGACGGGGACCACTACTCACACGGGTGGCCAGGAAAATGACATCATTCTTTACTTGAAAGTTTCTGCAGATCTTTGTGTTTTGGTCATTCCCTTATGACCTTATACAGGCAGTGACTACCTTATTAACATGGGTGCAGAACCATTTTAAAAGTTGGGGGGCACACACTGTTGGGGGGTCTGGGGGGTTCTCCCCCAGAAAAGTTTGAATGAAATAGATGCCATTTCCTGCATTCTTGTGTATTTTACCAGGTTGTTAAACATACTTTTACCTACACAAATTAACACTTGATTTAATAATTACTTCCGAGACAGATTCTTCATTAAACTAGTTCCATCATCCTGTTTTAAACTCACAGTTTTAGCTGAGATAAGCTTAATTAATGTGACACAATTTATCATATCCAATGACTATAGGGGTGCCTTTTTTTAAACTTTTTATTGTTTAATGATTTATTTTTAGTTGTAACATGTCATCGTGCCAAACAATGAAGACCCTTAACTGCATGTTTAAAACTAATATTAATAATTTTACCCAATGAATATGTGTAATACTGATAACCACCAACAGTCAGTTTAGAGGGCTGTTTCACTTTTTCTGATTTAGTGATAGGTCTACTCATAACCAAACATCATACAGCCTTCATAACATAAAATGACACTTTTATTGTGAAAAAAAGAAACCTTTGTCACTATAAGTCCAAAAGTTGACACCATAACTCAGATTACATAGGTATACAGTATGTTCTGTATATAAAGAAAACATCACTTCTTCTTCAGTGATAGAGCTTGGTGATGTTTCAAACTGTTAAACACTGCCACCAACTGTTCAGGAAGATTATTATACCCCTAAAGGTTGTTTCACTGTGGAAGGGGTGTGTGCAGCAGGGTGACCAACGGGGTGGCCAAAGATTTGTCTGTGGTGGCCATGGCCACACCCTCTGCCCCTGAGTGCTGCCAAAAAAGTAAATAAATGCAAACCAAAAAATCTTTCGTGTAAAGTTTTCATAAAGTATCTATATAAACTGTTGTTCTAGAGGGATTAGATGTTCTTGTCTTTTGTTTTGTTAA